AAGCAGGCTCCCAAGGAGCAGGGAGCCCGATGCGGGACTCGATCCCAGGACCCTGGGATCATGACCTGAGCCGAAGGCAGATGCTTAACCATATGAGCCACCCAGGCGCCCTGTCTTGAATATTCTTGATATTAATTCCTTGAAGTTACTCATTTTGATGTCATTATCCATTGATTTTCCACCTTATGATTTGTGGCTTTGGTCTTGTTTTAAAAGTTGTTTCCCATCTGTAGGACATGAAGAGTTTCTCCTGAGGTTTCTTTTGTTAGCTTTATATTTTACCTCTGATATTTAGGTCTTTAATCCATCTGGAGTACACTTTTGTGTTTGTGTATGATGGTAGGAATACAGCTTTATTTTTCTCCATGTAAGGAGCCTGTTTTTTCTTCATTGATAGGTAGCATCTCCTTTATCATATATCAGGTTCCCATGCGCACCTCACCCTGCTTCTGTGTTCCCTTTTTTTTGGGTCAATAATCTATTTTTATTACTGTTTGTGTTACATCTGGTTGATAGGGTAAGCTCCCCGTCATGGAATTTTAATTAATTAATTCTTATTTATTTATTTATTTTGCTTAGAGCAACTTTAGTCTCCCCTCTTCCCCCTACCCCCAAATTCAGCTGGAGTTTTCATTGAGATTACAGGATTAGATGTATAGATTAATCTGGGGAAAGTGGACATTTTCATTTCAGTATTATTCTCTTATCTATGAACATGGTATATATCTCCCATTTTTTTAGATTATCTTTTATGTCCTTTTAATAAAGCTTTAAATTATTTCCCATAGTCTTATTCTTTTGTGTTGTTTTGTAAGTTAGTATGTTAAGTACCTTATTTTATATTTTCTAAGTAGGTATAAAGGAGCATTGTTGGTTTTCCTCCCCAATATGTCATTATGGAAAATTTCAAACTTGCAGCTAAGTTTAAAGATTTTTCTTACAGTGACACCCAAATATCCATCTCTCCAGTTATTTTATTGTACTTGCTTTATCAACTGTCTATCCCTTCATCCACCAGTCCTGTATTTTTATTTATTTAAAAGAAGATGTAGACATTAATATGCTTCTCCCCCAAAGACTTCAGCATACATATTAACTATTTGTTACACTTCTTTTTGTATTTGTTTAGTTTTTTTCTTTTTCGATAAAGATGTAAGAAAATCTGCAAATTTAAAATGTTCCACTTGAAAATTGAATGCACACATTGATGCAGATCTAACCCTTATTAAGATTCAGAACATTTCTATTACCTCAGAGAGTTCTCTGTGTCTCTTGCAAGGCCCAACCCTCACTCCACCCGCACCCAGAAAGAGAAGGACAGAGATAAGATGAAAACAAAATAATGAATAAAGGGGAAGAGGAAATGACTAGAGACAAAATGGATATTTATGGGGGAGAGGATACTATACACAATTATAAGTTTATACATGCTAAAATGCCATTGCTGCTCTATTGTTTTCTTTATTATGTTCAGTTAGCCAGCATCATTAGTTTTTGATGTAGTGTTCAGCAATTCATTAGTTGTGTATAACACCCAGTGCTCATCACATCACATGCCCTCAATACCCATCACCTGGTTACCCCATCCCCCCACCCCCCTCCCTTCTGTAACCGTCAGTTTGTTTCCTGGAGTCCATAGTCTCTCATGGTTTGTCTCCCTCTCTTTTTTAGCTCAGAAAATTAATAAAATATTTTGCTTTCCATCTTCCTTCATAGCTTTCTTTAAAGGATCTTATATTGAATTATAATGACTTTGAGACCTTTTTCATTTGAAAAGTTTACGACAAGAGAGAATGATAGAAGGGTGAGTGTGTGTGTGTGTGTGTGTGTGTGAAAGAGGCAGTAGTTCTAAGGATTGTATAATTCATCAGTGACTGTTTTATCATAAAGTGATTCTAAATATGACATTTAGAGGGTTCTAGGTTTTTAAAGACTTTTTTTTTATTGCTCCATATTTAGCTTTTTCCTGAAACCAAGTACCTCTGGTGACAGTTTACAAAGTGGCAGCATTCCATTGGCAAGTGAACCTTCAGAGCACAAACCTGTATCTAGTTCAGCAGAACCTGACTTGATCAACTTTATGGATTTCCCAAAGCAAAACCAGACCATAACTGAAGAAACCACCTCCGCAACTGAATCAAGGTACCATAGAGTACAGAGAAGTCTGCATTATAAATTGGGTACCCTTATTAAAATTCCATCTTTAAAGATAACCTGATACATGTAGGCATAAGTCCTGGCATTTTAAAAATTCAATCTTAACTTTTTTCTGTGATATATTGTTTTAAGTATCTAATGAAAGAATGTGATAACCATTTTTGAAATTATGTTTAATGTTTTACAGCGTCCTTTTACAAAATGAACTTCTCAAGCATACAGAGTATTTTTCCCTTTTAGGTTAGTCATTGCCAGTTTCCAGAGACGTATTCTCTTTACTGTGAAATATACTGCATCCTCTTAAATACTGATTGAATCAAATATTTATTGAGAACCTGTTGTATGCTGAGCATTATGCTAAGCACTAAAAATAAAAAAGATCTGGTCTCTATCCTTAGGTGGATGGTGGCCTGGGAGAGGTTAACTACTTAGCAAATAGTTGCATAATTCTAGGTGATTTTGTTTAATAAAGATGAAATAATGTTTGAATAAAGCAACTGAATGGGCACTTGTCTTTTAAAAAGACTATTATCTACCCTCTGTCTTCTTCCCGCCCTTCACTGGAGTCATCCACTCCATCCTGTTCTTCTGACTCCCTTAACAAAAATGCCCGAAGGAAATAATCTTATAAGGTGGTACTGATTCTTCTCCAATACATTCAGTAGACTCAAAATTCGTTGTAGAAAATACTCTAGCTGGACAGGTTTAGATTGTGTTACAGCACAAACACAACATTTCTTCATTTTTTTTAAAGTGATGAAATAAAGAAAGCCAGTGGAGAAGTCCAAACTATGAAAATTTCACCTGCGCCTAATAGTTTATCAAAGCGAAATGTATCTTTGACTCGAAGTCACAGTGTTGGAGGTCCCTTGCAAAATATTGACTTTTCCCAGCGACCGTTTCATGGCATTTCAACAGTCAGTCTCCCAAATAGTCTGCAGGAAGTTGTGGTATGTAACAAGATTATAATTATCTGTGTATTCATGTAAGTATTTATTAGAGCAGCACATAATCCACAGGTGATAAAAAATTTTCATAAGCAGACTAAGAATTTTTTAAAATTTCAAGCATGTACCAAACTAACCAGAAGAGTATAATGAGTTCCTTTGACCTGCCATCTGGCTTCAGTAATTTTCACCTTAGGGCCATTCTTCTTTCATGTATACCGTTACTCACTTCTTTCCTAGATTCTTCTGAAGCAAACTTCAAACATCATATATTCCATTTGTAAATATTTCAGTATACTACGTAGTTCCTAAGAGATAAGGACTCTTAAAAATACAATGCCATTATACGACTAAAAAAATATCAAATTAATCTTTGTTCAAATTTCTAATGGTCTAAAAGTCAAATTTGTGTGTGCTTTGTAGTTTGAAGAATGATCAGATAATATCTATGCATTGCAATTGGTTGATGTTTTTTAGTCTTCTTTTTAAAGATTTATCTATTTATTTGACAGAGACATACAGCTAAAGAGGGAACACAAGCAGGGGGAGTGGGAGAGGGAGAAGCAGGCTTCCCGCTGAGCAGGGAGCCCCATGTGGGGCTCGATCCCAAGACCCTGGGATCATGACCTGAGCGGAAGGCAGTCGCTTAATGACTGAGCCACCCAGGTGCCCTTGTTTTTTTAGTCTTTTTTAAATCTGTAGGCCCTTTCTTTAACCTTGATTACGGCCGTATAAATTGGTGATTGTATCTAGAAGCTTGATCAGATTCAGGTTTTTGTTTTGTGGTTTTATTTTTGTAAGACAATAGCAGTGGTGGGATGTCCCTCAATAGAAGACATGAACTTTCTTTGTGATGCTAGTAGCTATTAATGCCTCAATAATGCCCAGACCAGGTTATTCATTTCCAGCTATAAAGGATGATAGTCTAATTGTCTTTATTATATGGGGTACATCTATAAAGAGAAACTTCCCCCATGTTTTCTGTTTGCTTTTCCAAAGACACAGTTTATTTTGGAAAGGTAGGGTAACTGAGTTTTTCCTTTTATTTACCAATTTTCAAAATAAGTTGGGTTCCTAGCATTCTCCCAGGTGATCAATTAATTTGGAGGAATAGGGTATCATTATGAACTCATTGATTTAAACATTTGTGTTTACATCCATTGCTGCTGTTATCTTTATTAATACTTACGTTATCCCATCTTTGATCAGCTAGAAGCCTCTACAAATTGGTGCCTTAGTCCCTTTGACACAATTCTAGTAGCCTTTTTATAAATTTTTTTAAAGTTTCTTTGCTTTCTTATATGACAGTATGTTTATACATGCTCATGTGATATACTTCTCTCTCTAGACCTAGAATTAGTCATTTCTCTAAGAAACCCTGTTCTTTTTAGAGGAAATGGTATTTGGAGACCTCAGCCTGGGCAGTAGGGGTACTCAATGAGTTGGTCATAAGCGTTTTAGTCTGATGATAATATGCACAACTTACAAAGACTAAATTGAATTCTTTTATTTTTTTAACGATTTTATTTATTTATTTGACAGATAGATAGAGACACAGTGAGAGAGGGAACACAAGCAGGGAGAGTGGGAGAGGGAGAAGCAGGCTTCCTGCTGAGCAGGGAGCCCGATGCAGGGCTCGGTCCCAGGACCCTGGGATCATGACCTGAGCCAAAGGCAGACGCTTAACTGACTGAGCCACCCAGACGCCCCCGATTATTCATTTTTAACTTACATAATTAGAATACGGATAATCTATTTTTATTAGTTTAAAAGCTGAGTTGCTGTATGTACATTTAGTTTATTCCTTTTCTCCTGTAGGAAGTTAATACCTCATTTTACTTATCCATTATCCTACTGTTGCTTCAGTTGCTTCCAGTTTGCTGTTACTATAAATATCACTGCAGTTATGCAGTGCACTGTAAAATATATCTCCTTCTGAACTTGTGAAATAGTTTCTCTCAGAATAATAGTCTTAGGAGCGAGGTCATTGAGTCATTTTCATACATGATTTCAATAAACAATGGAAGATTGCTTCCCAGATGGCAGGACTCTCACTACTAGTGCCTAAGAATTCTCATTTCTGTATATCTGTACCAGCATTTGGTATTATCAAGTTTCTATTTTTTGTATTCTAATGAGTATAAAGTGGTGTCTTGTTTTTGTTTGAATTTCTCTCAATATTAATGAGTTTATCTCTTCACATACTTGTTAATTATTCCAACATTTTCTATGAATTGCCTGTTTATATTTTTACCTTGTCCATTTTTATATTTTTCTTGTTGATATCTGTCTTGAATATTTTTTTTAATAATTTTTTTATTGTTATGTTAACCACCATACATTACATCATTAGTTTTTGATGCAGTGTTCCATGAT